AATTAATAATTGTAATTTAAAATTAATAATTAGTAAAATAATTAATATTTATTATTTAATAAATTAAAATTAATTAATAAATTAACATTTTTAAATTCTATTTAAAAAATTGAGAAACTATTTACCTTAATCATTTTTATGTTGAAAATAACCACAACTAAGATTTGGGGATAGAATTTCGAAGCCATTGCAATTGCATTCAATAAATACAGGACCAACCAAAATGACTCTGACCACAAGTAATTAGTACAGAGATTCTAAAGACAATTCATTCTTGTTAGAGTTTATTTATCTTTAACAGCTATCCTGAATTTCATCTCACCAAGTCTATCAAGTATTATGCATACAGGCCCGTCTCAAGCATTATCATCCGACTATCGAGTTTTTAAGTATGATTAACTGGTTTGGTCTGTATATATAAAAGATGTGCATAACTTCGTTCTTTTCGTTAACCAGATTGAGAGCTCCTTTATATATGTTGGCATCAATTTTTCTATCATCACGTATGCCATGCTGCTTATTGTCATTTTTCTTTGGTAGTTTGAAATTCTTCTGCAAAATGAAAATAGTGCTGAAGTTAATTAGTTTTATGCATGGTGAAATATTTCAGAGGCTAACATGGAAACAGCTACTCTGCCTCCGAACATGATTGTACCAGAAGTTCTTGGAGAATATAATTATGAAAGGTGGAGCATTTTAATAGAACACTACTTAGCGGCTCAAGATGTTTGGGATGTTATTGAACAAATCCCGACAACTGAAGAAATGAATGAGAGGGGGTGGAATAAAAAGAATGCTTTAGCTTTACATGCCATTAAGATTTCATGTGGTGCAAAGGCGTTTGATCTAATAAAGAACCAAAAGTCAGCCAGAGATGCTTGGAAGGCATTACACGATATGCAGAATGTCTCAGTCTATCATTACTTCCCCAGGCGCCACGAATTTGTCCCTCGGGACATGGCCACGCCCAGCGAAAGAGGTTTTATTCTATCTCTCTCTCTTTTTTTTTTTTGCCAAAATTCATCTGTGTGTTCGAGTTCGCTATTATTTCAGCATTTGTTATTATAGAGAGAGACTGCTGAACAGTTAACTTTTTTGAGGTCCTGGCTTAGATCTAGCTAATGTTTTGTGTTTATTAATTTTCGGAGCTTAGCTTGGTTTTTCTGATTTTAAATCTTGCAGCAGTCTTGGGCTTAATTATTTACGATATTCATTCAAGTCATGTGTGCCAGTGTGTGGTGTTGAGATCGATGTTTTGTTTGTAGCATGCAGGATTTGATAGTAAGGAAGGCCAAATGAAAAAGGTTTTCCTTCAATTGCATTTCAAAGAACGTTTTGCTGTTTCACCTTCTGCAGTCAGAACAAATTTTTTTAAATTTATCTAACTTGTGCCATTAAATTATATGTTA